ATCTAAATATCTCTGTCCATGACTTTTACAGAAAGCAGTAGATTTGATGTCTCAGGTCCCGAAACTGTGTAATGACATGATGAATTTGGGTCGGCTGCAGGGATTTGAGGTAAGTTAAATGTGTCTTCACAGTGACATGTACTGCACACACTATGACGTGTGTGGCGTGCTGTAAAGCCTAAGAGAGTAATGTTTTTATCAACCTGGTTTCTCTGCAGGGGAAACTGACCAGTCAGGGCAAACTGCTGCAGCAGGAAACCTTTTTTGTTACGGTGCAAGACGCCGGCGTCCTGTCCCGCTCGAAGGAACGACGAGTCTTCTTGTTCGAGCAAATCGTGATCTTCAGTGAGCTGCTGAGAAAAGGCTCGTCCACACCCGGCTACCAGTTCAAAAAGAGCATCAAGGTATTGTGTAGATGCTTGCAATAAAGCTGTGCCCATGTTTGTGTGCATGCAGTATGTTCATCACAAAGACACAGCAGACTGTGCTTTAAATGAAGTGTATATGAGCAGGTCATACTGCATACATAGACCTCCTAGCGAGCTCCTCGACCACGCCGTCCTACAGGCTCCTGCAGGAGAGGACCTGGTGGTTTGTGGGATTGTGTTGGTCTAACACTGTAAACTCTTTTCCACGCAGGTTTCCTACTTGGGTCTGGAGGACAGTGTGGATAATGATCCCTGTAAGTTTGTGTTGCTGAGTCGCGGCTCATCGGAGCGTTTCACCCTGCAGGCAGCCAATGTTGACATTAAGCAGGTGTGGGTCCAACACATTCAGGAACTCCTGGATGCTCAAAGCAACTTCCTGTCTGGTGAGGAAACACTGAGGATCTTTGTGTTCAGCAGAATATTACTTTGTTTTCACGTTTGTGAAAGCACGTTACAGGTTTTTTGTTGTTTTCTCCTAAATTTTAAGGATGCTACTTTTAATTTTTAACCTTTTAGCTTTAAAAAAATTATCGTACAAACTGGCACATAAACGAGAAGACGGTTGCTTTCTGGCTGTGGTGCCTTCACCACCTAAAATAAAACTGCCATGATCATAAAGTAGTTTAGGTGGAAACATGATAAAGCCTGATGTCACTTCCTTAAGCTCGTTCCCAGGAGGTCGGCGACCCATCCAAACAAAAATAACGACCCCGTGTTTTCTGTCTTACATTTAACAGAAATGCAGTTTGTGTGTGTCTTCAACAAAATGTCCTGAAATATGAGCCTCATCTAAAGTGCTTTTTCCGTCTGCAGCTCTGCAGTCACCCATCGTCTACCACAATCAGCAGAGCGGAGGAGGCAACAGCTCATCGCTGACCAGAAACCGCTCGTCCTCAGGGAATCAAACTAGCGCGTCCTCTCACAGCCGACCCTCGTCAGTGGTCGGCCTCTGCAGTGCGGAGAAGGGGAAGAGCCAAGTCAAAGTCTCCACCTCTAATGGAGGTTCATCGTGTTTTGACTCCATGGTGAGTGTGTGCAGGTTATATGATTATCAGCTTTTTTAAATTTGTTTTACTTTTAATTTGAGGATTTTATTGTTTTTGGTTATTTGGATTTAGAGTTTTGTGTCTCATCTAAGCACAGCCTGCAGACTGCACCAGGCACTCGCTAAACTGGGGCACTAAACAGACTTTTGTAAGTCAAAATGTAGGCTACTGCAGGTGTAGCAGCAGTTCAGTTTGTGTGTATGT